TTTGCTGCCGGGATGGGGGGCCTGCGCCTGAAGCCGGGGGCACGGGGGCGGTGCGCTGGAGGGGGTTTGTCCGAGGTGGGTATGGCCGAAGTTAACGTTCTGTGCTTGACTCCTGCTCTGGAGCTGTTCTCACCCCGCGGGGAGTTTAATGGCGATTCCCTGCGCATAGGCCGGCATCGCCAGCTCCTTAATTACAAAGAGCTGCATTTTCAGCCACGTGGCTGTGCCAGCTGGAAAGCCAAGGGATTGCTTTGGGAGCATGTAACACAACATCACCCATGATTCTAAGTTATATTTTAGTTTAAAATTATTTCATGTAGCCCACTTGAACTAATGTGTTCCGTGTAAGTACCTTAATTTTTAGCTGTTTCAGAGAACACAGTTAAAGATGCATTAAAGAAGAAGAAATCAACATTTTCTTTAAATGCCTACCCGCTTGTCAGTTTGCTTACAATCTTCCTTATTGAAAAGCATCGTGAGGTGGTCGAAGGTTGAGCTGTTTATCTTGGTGTGAGGGACTGCAAGGGGGAAAGATGAGTTCCTTTGGACTTTATTTTCTTGTTGAAATACATAGAGTCAGCATGACTTACAAAATAATTGAGCAACTAAAACAGAGGTGCTGCCTTGTATTGCAGAGCTAAGGGAGAACAGTCGTGCTGTGGGTAGAGTGTGTTAACTGAAAGCATGTTGGCTACCAAGCTGTCCCGGCCTCTCCTGAACTTCTCGGTGAAAGCCCTGAATTTCAAGGACACGAGGAATGGCTTCAGGTAAGTACACTCGGTGGAGAAGAAGAGAAAGAGTGAGATCTGGAGTAATGCGCACATCGAGGGCTCGTTTGATTTCAGTGGGACAGTTTATTTACAGAACCACAGGGTGGTTGAGATTGGAAGGGGCCTCTGGAGGTTGTCTGGTCCAACCGCCCTCCTCAGGCAGGGCCACCTAGGGCAGGTTGCCCAGGACCATGTCCAGACGGCTTTTGAACATCTCCAAGGATGGAGACTGCACAGCCTGCCTGGGCATTGAGCTGAGCACAGAGGAGATGGACTCTCTACACACAGAGGGGTTGGCAGCATGTTTTTTTTACACTTGGACAATCATCTCCAGTGGAAAGGGGGTGGAGTAGAGCATTAATTCAGTGTCAAGCAAGGATTTATTCCTCAATATCAGCAAGGACACCTTGCTGCAGTGCAATGAACTGTCGTGTATTTCTATGACTTCATTAAAGAGGCAGTGAATCACATGAAGTGAGAAAGTTGAGAGGGAGGGTTTTAGTGAGAAATGGAGGTGGGCTGAGTAATGAAGCTGTTTTTTTCTGAACATGAAGAGAAAATTGCTTGTCTAATTGTATAATTCCTAGCTCTGAAAGAAATACCTTTTATATTGGTGTATGATGGGAGCCCTGCTAGTCCAAATTCAGAGCAAGCTGAGTGCTTTCACTGGCTTTGCTTTAGAGCAGGGTTCCCAAATAACAGTGTGTACCGCTAATCGTGTGTAAGCAGTTTGAAAGTGGCTCATAGCCTGCTAAGCAAGGACTGCCACCTCCAGTGTTGTTCTGCTGCTGTTGATAGCGGTGTCCAGCGCCATCAAGGACGGCTCCCGTAACAGGGAGTTGTAGAGACCAAAGATAGCTAAGACGTTAGAGATTCCCTGTGCAAACAGACATAGGCCTTTTATCTCCTATTTACTCCACGCACACCAAACCTGCACTGGCAGGAATCTGCTCTTGCCTTAAAAATACAAATTAATGCTTCATTAACTTGAGAAAAGAATTTTCAGCATTTTGGGTTTTTTTTCTTTTGTTTTGCTTACTGTGTATTTGTGCTTTCTGTGTCTTGTACTCGGGGCAAAAATGTGTTGTATTTTTTGAAGTACCCACAAGCTGCTAAACCCAAAATGGCAATCCAGCTGTTCATCCGAAAGGCAGCGTTGTGGCTATGCCGGTATCCTAAGGCATTGAGGTAGCATTTATGTGCTGGACTCTTCAAGCTGAGGACTGCCTTTTTTGGTGTGACTGAACAAAAGCGAATGCATGGTTACAAGCACAGACTCAATACGAGGACCATCTGCGTTTTAAAAGTCTCAGTTGTGGTCTCTACAATTCAGTCATGCAGAATGACAAGAATGACTGTGGGGGGGCTAACATTGCATCGCCCTTGCCTTCAGGTCCAGGTAGGCAGAATGTCAAGTAGTTATTCTCTATGCGTTATTGTGAATAGAGTGCAGCAAATCAGTGCTCTGCATTGACAGCAGGACACTGAAAAATAAAAACCAAGTTCATGCAACTAAAAGAAACGTTACGAACATTTCTGGGCACTTTGAGACACACCAAGAAGCTTATTGTCGAGATAGGCGTTCCAAGCCAGGATTGCAGGTCGGTAATGTTAACACAGACTTTGTCTGGGGACTGACCTTCACAGCAATTAAATTGGTGTTGCAAGAGCTGATTGGGTTTGTGACACTCAAAGTTAGAAAAAGAGGTAAACCATTGCAGGAAGGTGAGTGGACACTGTTGCCTGAATATACATCAGCTTCTTTCCTGTGTGGTTCAAAGCTTCTGCTCTAGCAGACCCTTTTTTCTAGCCTTGTTTTCCCAAGACGCAGCTCAGAGGCCAGAGTTGTCTGCAGATTGCTGTTCAGTGTAGCACAGGTCACCCTGGGAGCGCCTGTGGTGTCTGAGCAGGAGATAATTGTGAATGATTATGCAAATTCACTTAGAAGACAGAAGAGCAGCCTGGAAGATAAGCTCTACTGAAGGATGTTGTTAGAGGGCCCAGAGGGTAGGTGAAGTACAGCAAGTCTAGGGGAAGACCAGAAGGCTGTGGGAGGGAAATGTGAGTGCCCAAAGCAAAAATGAAAAAGCTGATATAGTCCAGAGAGGTGGCTGGCAAGGACGGAGGCTGGGATCACTCTGGTGTGTTGTCTAGGCCCAGTTTTGATGAGTAAAGGCAAGACCGAAGACAGCGTGATGCTACGGGTAGCATAGCTTTTCTAAATACAATCTGACTCCATGGAAGGCGTTGTTGCTTTGCTCTGGTCTGTCTGTGTGAGCGTAGTTTATCTTCCTGGGAGTCAGACATATTATGCGGAGGAGCTTCAGATCTGCATGACACGTATTGCTCAAAGTCTGTTAGCTTAAACAGTTGCAAAGAGGGGATATAAAATCTAAGAGTATCTATTGGGTGGGCACTGCAGAGAAAGAAATGTAATGCAAGGTGACAGAAGGGTGAAGCTGTGTGTAAAAACAGTGAGTTAGATCTAAGCAACTTCAGCCTTAGGCTGAGCATCAGAGACAATGCCACAGCAGAATACTTTCATCAGACAAATGAATAACTTCCTCTACCCCAGCTTTGTGCAACTGCAAGTGAAGTTGCTGTCGCTGTTGGAAATGAAAACATTCTACTGCCCATTCTGCGGGTGGAAGCAGCTCTGTGCTTCCAGACCAGGAGCTATTTTAGAATTCTTGGTAGTATCCAGACAGCTCCTGCAGCTGTAAATAGCATCAAGGTCTTTTGAGAAACAAATGTTTCCTACTGTAGGAAACACACAGGCTCAGACTAAGGAGAATTGTAGACTGGATTCTGTTGTCTCAAATGACAGTCGACATCGTGTATATAGGCAACACCACATTCCTTTTCATGAGTATGCTGCAGCATCAGGGTACGAACAAGGTATTCCACGCCTGATTGTGCTGTTGTTTTGTGGTTTTTTAACAGGCCTGTGCAAAGATTTTGCTTCCCTCTCTCGTCCCCACATGGCAGCCGCTCTTATGCAAGTGAAGTTGATCAGGTGAGTGGAGTTTCCAGAACTAGTTCTGCTGAGCTGGGGTTTTAAAATCCCTGAAGCCTGGTGATCAAATTCTTCTTTCCGATTTGCCAGAAAGACTGAGCTGGACCTCTCCAACATACTCCACATTCTTTCCTAGCACAGAGCTGCCATTGACGTAGCATGATGCATGCTGCTAAGGATGGAAATAAACAACCAGACTAGCAGTGTTTTTCTATTTTTGGAACTCACTCAGCGGATTAAATCTTTCACCTTAGGCTGGAGGGAATTTGCATGACAAATTCTTAATAAAGCACTCTTTCTGGAGTGTGGTTGTGTAAAGAGACGTAAATAAATAGGCGTGTCGTCGCCTCTTGATCTGGACAGTGGCCCTCTTCTTTAATAGCCCTTTCCTTGAAGGTGCTAGCTGCCAGGAACAGTGCCAAGCAAAAGGAAAGAGGATGTTTTGCCCTTTTGCCTGTATTGTGGCACAGAACTCAGCACTGTAGGAGTTCTAGAGCATGCACATCTTGCTGGGACAGAGTCTCGGAGGAATTCAGATATGGCCCTTGCATCGCTGCTGGGCTTCAAGTATGACCCTAATCAGTCCCTTTGTATGCTGAGGAAAGCAAAATTTCTAGTTTGTTGAAGGAGATGAGATGGAATGAATTGCAAGTAATTATTACCTAATCTCACCCATAGCAGCACCTTGCTGCATGCGCAGTTGTTGCTACTGCAATGTCTGCTACACCACGCAATTTTTAGCATGTCACTTAACTGCTGCCTCTCTTTTGATTAGAAGAAGGGGTCTGGAGAAGGAAGGAAGCATACTTCTAATTAAATTGTAAATTGGAAAAATAAGAAGACCAAAAAAACAAATAAAAAGAGGGATGACCAACTGGTCTTAATTTCAAATATTAAACCCATTTGATTCTGCTTAGTTTTTAAAACCCAGCACTAGAGGGTTCGTGTGCTAGAGAAAGGTGAGTGAGCAGTCAGTGCTAGTTAACCCAAGTGCTTTCTTCAGTCAAGCTGTCTTCCCCATGCCTACGGGCTGCGTGGCGCAGAAGAGTGGACTGCTGCCTGCTTTGAATATAAAGGAACAGTTCCTGCTG